TGACGTCATTAGGCAATCATATGAACATGTTAAAGGATCAAAAGAGTAAGAGAGAGGGAGAGAGAAGGGGAACAGATTTTGAAAAATACTCTTACGGAATTTAACAATCTTGACTTGAATAAGTTTTTGTAGGTACATGTGTACATGTACATGTAGTACTAGTAATTTAATTATTGGTAATATATACATGTTCATGTGAATTGACATGTATGTAAAGAAATAAGTATTGTGACATATATGTACATGTACATGTATAAGGCATGTACATGAACATGTAGATACGGTACCTTATATTATTGTTAGTATACATGTAAATGTACATGTAAATGTACATGTACATATACATGTATGTGTAAATAATATAATGTAGTGACATGTAAGGTTTACATGTAAATGTACGCGTACAAGAATTAATGAGTACATGTATGAAAAAGGAGAGATAGAGGTACATATATAAATGCATGTATATTTAACCCTTTTATTCCTTTCAGGTCATTTCCAATACTGGAGGTTCATTTTCTGAAATATTCGACTCGTGAAATTTATCGCAACTACATTGACTGTGTGAGGTGGTTCGGTCGACTAGCGTTTTCTAAAAGTTGTGAGAATAGTTTGATACTTTGGAGACCTCCCAGACCTGACGATAAGCCACAACAGAAATCCTTTCAAGTTTTACAAAAGTAAGAAAGAGGAAGGGAAGGAGAAAGAGGGACGAGAGGGGGAAAGGGTTTTGAAATCCTCATTATTAGGTTTGAGGTTCTGAACTGTGAGATATGGTATATTCGCTTTGCAATGGACAGGAAAATGAAAGTAAAAAAGTTTAATAATTCACTAAGAATCAATAGAAATGTATATGAGCCTGTATTTAATAGTATAATGTACTACACATATTTAAAAAGCATTGCCAAATGTTAATGCTTTAATGTACAGTGTCTGTTATTACACATGTGCTATTAAGTGTTTCACATTACAAATAAAACGTATATGTATCTTGAAAACATACGGTTTTTATTTAAATGTTTCCTGCAACGACAGCACTAAAAGCCGTGACAGCAATTGTTGCAGCAATTGGTTTAATAAGATATGAAACGTCTCCTTCATTTTGAGGCATTCCAGTTACTAATTGTCCATCAGGATTAGCAAGAGATTCCATATCTGATCTATAAACTGGGGCTGGCATAAAAAGATTTTTTAGTCGTTCAAACTGG